AACCGATCTGGCAAAAATTTAAAATCTAAGATTTAGGTAAAAGTCATTAAATTATCCTATTCGATCCCATTCTGGCTAGGTAAAACAAGCTTAGGTAAAACATCTACTACTCAAATACATAAAAGAAATTTAGGAATAGTTATGAATGGAACATACATCTGATTGAGGATGGTAGTAGAAAACCCTTGGATCATGATACCAATGCGTTATTCCCAAATAAAATATGAATAATTTAGGAGTAATCATCGTATGCTATCACTAGAAAAGGAATAATTGACAGTTTTAATAACAGCATATGTAATTAATAAATAAGACGCCAGTTGGATATCGATTGAAATGAACAGGTGCTGACATTCAAGTAAGAGTTGTAGCGAGAACAGGAGCTCTACAACACAAGCTGAAGAGAACTAAATAAATTATGGATGTCAAACAAGTGGAAATGGAGATCGAATTTGTAAAAAATGACGGACAACCAGACGAATTTATAAAATACATTGCTAATGAGGGAAAGAAGAATTAGTTTTGGAGGCAAGGAAGTTGGCCTAAAGGAGAGGGATAATGGTACGGATCAACTTCATATCCCTAATACCAATAAACATTGAACTGCTGTAAGCTGTACACCTGCGAAACCTCTTATCTAGGGTTAAATTCTGTGTATAAAATAGGCCAATTCAGAAGAAAATGTCTTCAGTCTTTACGGCGCGATGTGTCTATTACAAATTTCAAGTTACAAGTAATGAATACAAGATACGAAGAGGCCGTGGTTAGCGGCATTGTAAGCGTAAATAATGTTTCGTCCAGAATGACCTGCACTAGTTGGGTGAGGATGTTAGTCAAAAGGCGTTAGAATAAAGCTGTAAACGGCTTCAGGTAATAGTGGCCTAACACGTGTAGATGAGGGATAGTAAATATTGCGACCAAAATAAGAATACAAAAGAAAAATGTAAATCAGAGGGAATAAACAAACATGCTGAATGAAATTATATACTGGATAGATAAATAGCGTAAATTCATTACGGAAACTAGATACAGAGAACAGCCATAAGTGGAGATCTCATATGATACCAGTGAAGTGGTCGTTTCATACAATGCAGCATACTGTACTAATATTGGAAAGTGTTTACAATTGTAAACAATACGGTATAAGATCTGAGTTCATTAATATCATCTTCACTAATATATCATAGGAAAAAAAAATTTTCAAAAAGATATGGGCAAATGAGTTAATAGACAGATAACATCTGTGCGTGGGGCTAGCGTAGCAGTTCAATGTCTGTCTAGATGGAAGTTTTAGCACAGGCGCTAATGATAGAGAACTTGTCGAATAGGTGACCTGAGATAAGTTCACTTCTAGTGATCGAGAAAATCAGACCAAGTGGCTGCTTGAGACTTGATTTGATAAAAAAGAAGCATACGAACAAGAACCGGATACAGGTAATAAAAGAAATCTTCTATACGAAAGGAAGAAACCATGAAAACACAGTAAGGGTAGAAATGAAAAAGTTACATTTTCATATATTTGGTGTGATAATATGCTAGTAGCGCTTTAAATAGGCGTCTGGATGCCCATCCGTCTGGCAACCCAGATTTCGCATTTATAGGCGTTTATTGTAGTCAAATAAACAGATGCCGTTCTCTACTGCTTTGTGCTGTGCCTTATTGAGTAAAGCCCTAGGCTGTCTTTAAAATAAAAGTATCGGGAAAGAAGCCCTCTCTTTCATTTAAACAAAGAACTAAATTGGGACAAGCATATAGGACTATAAGGACCGATCACAAAACGATAGTTGAAAATTAATTTGAGAGATGCGAGGATGTGGATCTGAGCATGGAAAGGAGTGGAACGTAATAGGAGCAGAACGAAATATCAAGCTGTTAAAGCCTACTTAAGAAAAATGGCTATGTGAAGCACAATCAGACAACATCAAATTCAACATGACCTGAGTCTTTAGAAATAATGATGACAAATAGCACGAGGAAAATGAGCTGGCGCATGATAAAACAAAACCGAGGAGTGTAAACCTGAGTTGAAAGAAAAGCGGATAATCATTCATTTTGTGATGTTCATAGAAAAGGACCCAGAATGTTGAAGAATTACACATTTCATGTTAAAAAGGCTTGAAGGGCTAGATGACTTTGATGACGGGTTAATTAATAGTAATATAGGCGAATGAATGTATTGCAGATATGTTTTATGGCAATTAGCCAAGAATCTAGGTATAAAATTATGCTAGACCGAATGTATAGCTAATGATAAATACGGCTGGTCACAGCCTAGAAAGCCGGACGACGTGGTGATTGATTAGATATATATCTGTATATGCACGAATAGGCATACAAATATTCACCACCGAAAAGGTCGAAGGTCTCGAATGGCAAAGGCAGACATAAACCGGAGGTATGGAATCTGTAGATGGATTAATAAGCGACAGCTTGATGGACTAGACCGGGACGATCACCGCTTAATTGCTGATTGCTGCAAAGACCCGACCAAGGCTTGTTGAGCCAAGGATTGTGAAAATGGCATGAGAGAACCTGTGCCAGAGCCATATCCGTGTCTTGAACTAGAACAAGGGTCAGAACTTAGGCCGGTAACGTAGAGCCCCGTATTGGAAGACTGGCCGGTCGGCATAGTCAGATTCGTAGAAGGCCCAGCCATGATAAGACCTCTAGGGTTGTGTGTAGAGGCGCCAGTGGTGGCGACAATAGCGTGAGCGTGAGCGTGAGCTGCTGTCGCAGCAGCAGCCATTAAGGTGCTTTCGTGGGGTCCAGAAGGATGAGGAACTGGACAACTAGTTAATGCAGAGGGAGATTGCCAAAGAGAGAGACCGAGGCCACCAGCAGAGGAGGTAGAGCCAAGGAGACCGCCTTGGGAGCCAAGAGCAAAGCCTGTAGATGAATGGGAATCAAGGTTGGCATGAAGACTGCATTCATCAAGCTTATGATCTGAATGAAAAGAATAAATACGTTTATTGGACGAAAATACAAGGGAGAAAAATAGTCTAGCAAGGCAAAAGTAAGGTAAGAATAGAAAGGAGTTAAATTATGAAGATAGAGAAGTTGAAAGTAGAAGAGT